TTCCTCAAGATCAACGGTCTACGATGACATATGAAAAAAATCATTATATTCGTGCTATTTATAAAAGGATTAGCATTTCAAGCAACCATATGACACATTCCTGATTATATTAATTTCTAAATATATGACCATAATAGTAACAAAAATCGATAAACTTGTTCAGGCCCAGTTAATGAAAGATGTTAAGAACGAACTCTTGATCAAAAAAATTGTATACCAAAGTCTCCGCATAATTCCAGGCACAAAAAAGAGACCAACACAAACAAAGAAGAAAGCCGAATCAAAGATCCAACGGTCAAAAAAACTGTGCGAAGAATGAGACGACAATAAACGGCTTTCGAGTTTGAGAGTAGCTGCTTCTAGGAGACTTTCAGACAAATATTTCAACGAGCAGTCAATCCCTGAGTTGCTGATGATGATTGAGTACCTTCCTCTGTTACCTTGTTTGCTTGAATTGTGCTGATAACATTTGTAATATTGTCCTGCACAACACACAAAATGAACATGAAACAATCAACATGTTATTATAAGATCTGTATTTTAAAATTGCGATTTTGTATTTACCCTCCAAGCTGCAAGCTTTGTTCTAAGAGATTGCCATTGCTTTTGTCCAAATTCGCGTTCGGTTGAGCGGCTGAAATATGAAAAGTATGAGAATGTGTGCGACTTTACACATATAAACGAAGCCAAAGAGAAGCATATAGAACTTGCCTGACGATTACAACCTCGTTCATCTGATCCATCTTACAATCAACCAATTTCGCGGTTATTGCCTTCACCACCCACAATTCAACCTCCTCGTCATTTACCTGCAACCCCGACAAATCCTATGAGTCTGATAAGCAACAACAAAAATGTTATCAACGTTTTTATGTCTTGTTCAACCAAAAAGAACATCACCTGTAGAGTGTTCTTGATAGAGGCATAAGGAATTTTGCCAGATTCATTTGAGGCCAAGTCAACTAGTGACAACAATCTCATCTTCACTACACAATCTTCTTCGACAAGCCCTGAAAATACCATATCATATATGGCTGATTACACTGAATACTCAAGGGTTCACTAAAGAATGAAGGATTCATTTGCCAATCATTTTAAGCGGTAAAAGGGATAAAGAACTGTACCATAGGTTTGCAGAAATCCTGAATTCGCATTTTGGAATTCCATGTATGTATCCAGCCTCTGAGTAAGAAAGATCTTGAGTAGCTGGTAAATTGGTGCATTGTTAGGATCCTTCTCCAATTGTGCGATGGCTGGCATGTCTAATAAATCACACTACAATTCAAATAAAAAATTCATGAATGTAATTCCAACAAAGAGACCTCACTGAAGAAATAGCAGTAGTTAACACTTCCAATGACACTAACAAGTCAAGAGACACATTTAA